TAAGACTAGTATCATAGATATAAATGTAAGCTGTATATGCTGGACACACCTACGACTGTATTGTACATATAATTCCATCTTGATCTTACTTTGCGTTCAATTTGCAATCGATGCAGATCTCCCCTTCCCACACAATGGATTCTCTATTCGCGGGCTTCGACCACTCCACACCGCACGTGAACTCTATTCTCAAAGAGGAGAATCTGAGTACCAATGCCATCAATTCGTTCGATGGCATGCAGTTTGCCATGCCTCCAGTTGGCCAGGTATGTACATGCGGATATGAGGCAGACAGAGATACGTATGTATATATATATGCGGATATATGAAAAGGAAAGATATGTTGTGTATGTATATGCGTATATATGAAAAGGAAAAATATGTCGTGTTTATATATGCGGATATATGAAAAGGAAAGATATGTTGTGTATGTATATGCGGATATATGAAAAGGAAAGATATGTTGTGTATATATATGCGGATATATGAAAAAGAAAGATATGTTGTGTATATATATGCGGATATATGAAGGAAAGATATGTTGTGTGTGTATGCGGATATATGAAAAGGAAAGATATGTTGTGTATATATATGCGGATATTTGAAAAGAAAAATATATGTTGTGTATGTATATGCGGATATATGAAAAGGAACGACATGTTGTGTATATATATGCGGATATATGAAAAGGAAAGATATGTTGTGTATGTATATGCGGATACATGAAAAGGAAAGATATGTTGTGTATATATATGTGGATATATGAAAAGGAAAGATATGTTGTGTATGTATATGCGGACATAAAGAAAACAAAGATATTAATGTGTATCTGGTATATATATATATAGATATAGATGTGGGTATGTTCAGTGACATGAACGGGGATATGGTTACAGTACCGATGCCCCATTGCTTACGTGCAGTCTATGACACCGGTAGTGGGTTTCTATTCCTGACTAAGGCCCATTCTCAGGTGCGTGCATCTCTACGTTTAGGTGCAAGAGTCGTTCCATTATCAGGCGTATGCGTCTTTATATTCAGGTGCATGTACCTCTACACCCACGTGCACGTATCCCTTTATAGTCTCGAATATTTAGTCGTATGTAAGTCCTGTTGCATCTCATCTCATCTCATCTCATCTTCTTATCTCTTTGATCACAGCCGTCGTCGCTGCTGAAGGAGTGGACTGATGACACAGAGGGATCCATGAAGGTTAAAATAGCTCACGGTACCACAACACTTGCCTTCAAGTTCAAAGGCGGTGTCATGGTCTGTGTGGATTCACGTGCCACTGGTGGTGCTGCTATTGGTAGGTGCGAGCAGCTGCTGTGCATACGATACGCACACACACACACACACACACACACACATATATATATATAGATGTAAACATATGATATATATATGTATATATATCTATCTATCTATATATACCTATGTATATATATATATATATACATACATACATATATATATATATATATATATATATAT